TTTAATAAACGTGTGTGTAAAAGCGACGCACCCTTTACACTCTTATTATTCCAGACCGATTACAATAATAACACTCTCCTGAAAAGTACAGGTCACACACACACACACACACACCTCATTACTCTTTCTTTCTTATAATCTCATCCCTCTCTCCCTCCCTTTCACTCACTCGCTCTCACACTCGAACCGGTTTCTCCTCTTCTGTGTCACCGTATGGGAAACATCATTTTTGGGCTTTATGGAAACATGTTTATTTAATATATGTGTGTGTATGAGTGAGTGTGTTTGTTATCTGGGTGTGAAGGTTCAAAAGTTTAGATATGCACACTGTAGATATATAAGAAAACCTTTTCATTTGCACATAAAATTTAGATATGCACTTTCAAAACATGCAGCGATATTTCTGGTTTCAGTTGAGCGAGTTCATCATCCGCATACCTGTCGTCCTGTGATTTTTTGCAGAATACAGAAGAATGTCAAATGGGACACACCTTGTGTTTTGGGTATTTTGGTACAACACGATTTTTGTATTTTAGTTCGGTGACTTTTGATTCAAAATTTGAAAAAGATTGAGCTATATGCGGATGACGTGTTTGTTCAACATGAACTGCAGATTGTTGGTGAACTTACAGTTTTTAAACTTTATGAAACATTTCAAAACAAATTTGAAGCAAGTATGTCCAAAGTTTGCCCCGTTAGTGTGTATTTGATGAGATCAAAATCGAATGCATGTTCAATACATGTATTGATTTATTTTTATTAAATTTTATTTTTATTTTATTTATTTGAATTTTATTTATTAGAATAATGTGTTTATTGATTTTATTTAATGTTTATTTATATACTAAAATGATTTAGCATTTATTTATATTTTATTTATTAGATTAATGCGTTTATTAATTTTATTAAATTATTTTTTATTTATCTGAATTTTGTTGTTTAGAATTCTATTTATTGATACATTTTTATTTAATACTTATTTATATTTTATGTATTTATTTGAGTTTAATTTATTTGAATTTTATATGTCATAATAAATATTATAATACATATGAATCATATTTACTTATTAAAAATGTGTTTAATATTTATTGGTATTCTATTTATTTTAACTTGTATTAAATCATAAGCTTTCAGAATAAAAAAAAAAAAGATTAAACTTGCACTCATTTCCTCATACACTTATATTCATGTTTAAAAGTTGCTTTTGGGCAGCAGAAATGTACTCATGGCTTTTGTATGGATTCATTGCCTTTGGTGATTCACAGATTTGAAGCTGATTATCCGTGATTCACGAGGATTTGATTTTTCTGGAATATTTCCCTTCAGTAAGAGGAGGAAGAAATGCCCTGTATTTCCACCTGTCTGTGTCTGTAAGTGTCATGATCGTGTCACAAAGAAGAAGGAGTGGCGACGAGTTTAAATAAGAGCCACACTTTCCCCGAGTTCATCAACACACACACACACACACACACAGTGGACGCTCCGTCAGAGACACAGGTAACACTCTTCCATCAATACTGCATTACAACTGCACTTTATGATGATAAACATTACGCTTAACAGAATTGAAAATATCTGTGGAACCAGTATTGCATTAAATTATATGTGTTCATGTTGCCCTTTACAGTTGTTTGGGTCTTTATAACATGCTTTATAACTTTAAAACAGGATAATTATTATAATTATTTTATTATTAATTATTATTTAAGAATGTAAGTTATTGTAAAACATGTATTTTCACGATCAGTGGCATTGGTTTAGACATGATGATGATGATGATGAGGATGTTTAATGGGTTGTTATGCAGGTGTGTTTGTGTGTGTGTGTGTGTGTGTGTGTGTAAGTGGCGTCTTTGTTGCGAGTCATTTGTGAAGAACTCTAAGTTTAGTGTGGGAGGGGACGCTGTCATAAGCAAGATCATAATGTACACTCTGTATAATGATTTTATAATCGCACAATTAAAAGAGTCACCGAGGACGCAGAACTCGTCATTAATCCCTGTATGAATTTAATAGAGAAACATGACGACAAAACATTGGTCAATAGGCTGTGCCATGATATTTCAATGAAAACTAGAAGAAGAAATATTTATCTGGTTTAGTAATTGTAAATAAACAGTGTTATACGCACAGTTTTGAGTTTTAATTTAACTTTAATTAAACTTAAACTGCATTTAAGCAGAAGCCTTTGGATCAAAATAACATTAATAATGTTTAATGTATATTGTAAGACATTCAGATCCATAACAAAAAACACATCATTTAGACAGAAGAAAGGCAGACATAGAAACTATGGTAACACTTTACTTGAAGGGGTGTGCATAAGACTGACATAACACCTTCATAACCATGACATGACACATGTCATGAATATGAAGTAGGGTTTATGCATGTTTATGACAACTGTCATTAAGTGTCTTTCGCTCAATAATGACATTTTTAATGCAAATATGACATTGTTTAAGATGTCTTTGTTATGACATCTTGACATAAACCATAACATCATAACCTGTCAGTGTCTTTGTCATGACAACTTGACATTAAATTAAGTTAAACTGTCATGTGGTTGGTTTTGACATTGGCTGTCATGAGGCCATTATAACTGTGTCATGAATATTTTTCGTGACCTCAACTACAGTGGTACACATTCAATTTGACATTAAACAGTTATAATGCTTCATGACAGCCAATGCCAAAACCAACCACCTGGCAGTTTAATGTAATGTTAACCAGTACAGCTAAGTGGTTTCTTAAGTTTGATAATTAATCTGCTATGTCATGTTTATGACAGGTTGTGTTGTCTTAGTAATGTCAAGTTGTCATGACAGAGACACTGACAGGTTATGATGTTATGGTTTATGTCAAGGTGTCATAACAAAGACATCTCAAACAATGTCATATTTGCATTAAAAATGTCATAATTGAGCGAATGACACTTATGTCACGGGCCCACCGGTGGGCCCAAATCCTTTACATTTTTAAAACAGTAATATCCTATACTAAACCTAAACTAATCTTGACAAACTATATATCATTGGAAAGCTTAAAATCTCTAGTTTCCATATTTGGTGATTGATTTTCAAAATAAATTAGAGAGGAGCCGTAATTTATCAATTTGCAACAATAATATTTTCATACTCTTAGACCTTTATTTTGAAATAGTGATGAACATGAAAAATCATGAAAGAAGGGTAGAAACCTCAGTTTGTTTTCATGCCAAGAGTTCAAAAGATAGCATCCATTCAATTATTTAAAAAAAAAAAAAGGTCTGATTTTTTTTTTTTTATATAAAGAAAAAAATTATATGATGTGGCAGGAAGCTAAAACGCACATGCGTGTTCTTTTTATGTTTCTTAGAGGTTGAAATCATATCAAAATCTGCCAAACTTCTCATATTACTTCTGAATAGGATGTCTACTTCATAAATTGTATGAAAATTGTGGAAATAATGGTTCATATCACTCAAAACACATATGGAAATGGAGGCGCCCTTATATGGGCAGTAATGGAGTCTGGTTGTCATCTAGTGAAAAAGTTTGGTACTGCGCCCAAACAAAATCTTACTGAAAGCTCATTTTTTGAGATATCAACCTAAAATTTGAAACACAACTTGTTCAGATTTTTGGCTTTGATTTTTTTGCAGTTTTAGAGTCGCCCAGGTTTTGAAAATAAATATTTTATATAAAATATGAATAATTAAATTTTTTACATTGTACATTTTCATAAACTCAAACTTCTATAACTTTTTTTCTGTTTCACTTTCTTAATTTATTTCACTTCTACAAAAATCTGCCAAATGTCTTCTTTAAAACAAGACCAATCTTACGTCTATATTCCAAAGCATTCTTGAATTACAACCATTTAAGTTCGAAATGTGCATTTTCATGTATATTCAAAAAAAGGGGGGTGACACTTAAAGAGTTAATGACAGTTGTCACAAACATGCATAAAACTTCCTTCATATTCATAACATGTGTCATGTCATGATTATGAAGGTGTCATGTTAGTCTTATGCACACCCCTTCAAGTAAAGTGTTACCGAAACTATTTTTAAAATCTCGATGAACATAAATTCAATTAAGTACATTCAAACTTTTCTCTGTTAGTGTATGTGACATAACTATTTGATGACTCAAGATCAAAATAATGTAAACCTGGAATTAAATAGAAAGAGGTGTATTAATAATTATTTATACATGTGTATAAATATTATTAAATAATTTAGTACATTTATTTATTTAATATTTTTTTCTTTTTTTATCTATTAGAATTGTGTTTTTTTTATTTAATGTTTGTATGTAGAGGCTTATGGTAGAGAAATGAACATTCAGTTCACGGGAAACAGCTCTGGTGGACACTCCTGCAGTCAGCATGCCGATCGCACGCTCCCTCAAAACTTGCGACATCTGTGGCATTGTGTTGTGTGATAAAACTGCACATTTTAGAGTGGCCTTTTATTGTGGACAGCCCTAAGGCACACCTGTGCAATAATCATCTTATCTAATCAGCATCTTGATATGCCGCACCTGTGAGGTGGATGGATTACCTCGGAAAAGGAGAAGTGCTCACTAACACAGATTTAGACAGATTTGTGAACAATATTTGAGCGAAATAAGCCTTTTGTGTACATAGAAAAAGTCTTAGATCTGTGAGTTCAGCTCGGGGCAAATGGGGGCAAAGACAAAAGTTTTGCGTTTATCATTTTGTTCAGTGTGTGTGTGTGTGTGTATATATATATATATATATATATAATTTACTAGAATTTTAATTTATTAATATTTAATTTATTAATATTTATTTATTTGATTATTTGTTCATGGACTTATTTATTTATTTGTTTATTTATTTATTAGAATTGTATTTATTTATTCATTGTTTTACTATTTATTTGTTTGTTTCTTTATTTATGAAAATATATTTAACATATTTAGGTCTTTTTTTTTCTTGATTTCTCAGCCTACCTGTAGAAATGTCTAGCTCAGATCCCAACACTACTAGAGGTCCCAGCACACGTGCAGATGTGCCTACGACCACACCAACATCTGGATCTGGATCTGCATCATCCACACCCACGCCAACATCTGGATCTGGATCTGCATCTGCATCATCCACACCAAGACCAACATCTGGATCTGGATCTGGATCATCCACACCAAGACCAACATCTGGATCTGGATCTGGATCTGCATCATCCACACCCACACCAACATCTGGATCTGGATCTGGATCTGCATCTGCATCATCCACACCCACGCCAACATCTGGATCTGGATCTGGATCTGCATCTGCATCATCCACACCAAGACCAACATCTGGATCTGGATCTGGATCTGCATCATCCACACCAACATCTGGATCTGGATCTGGATCTGGATCTGCATCTGCATCTGCATCATCCACAACCACACCAACACCAACACCTGGATCTGGATCTGCATCATCCACACCCACACCAACATCTGGATCTGGATCTGGATCTGCATCTGCATCATCCACACCCACGCCAACATCTGGATCTGGATCTGGATCTGCATCTGCATCATCCACACCAAGACCAACATCTGGATCTGGATCTGGATCTGCATCATCCACACCAACATCTGGATCTGGATCTGGATCTGGATCTGCATCTGCATCTGCATCATCCACAACCACACCAACACCAACACCTGGATCTGGATCTGCATCATCCACACCCACACCAACATCTGGATCTGGATCTGGATCTGCATCATCCACACCCACACCAACATCTGGATCTGGATCTGCATCTGCATCATCCACACCCACACCAACATCTGGATCTGCGTCTGCGTATGCTAAACCTGCTGTTATAGGTGAGGATGAGGAGGAGTATTTCAGACTTCAGCTACTCCTGTGATTCGACTGTGTCCTAAACCCTCTAAACCTCTCTGTTCCCCAGACACGCTTCTGATGGTGCGCTCCGTGGACCTCCTGAAGTCCAGAGACGGGCCGAACCGACGCGAGCATCACACGGACTCTTACCTCAGCGACAACCTGATCGTCCGCAGAGGACAGACCTTCCAGATGTGGATCGAGCTCTCCAGACCCTTCACCAGCGGATCCGACAACCTGCAACTGCAGCTGAGTGAGTGTGTTTGAGGTCCTCAACCCTTCCCTAACTCACTTCTGTTTACATGTAGTGTTCCTCAGACGGGTCCAAGACCCCAGGACGTTTGTCGCACTTAACCATGAATACACAAATAATTAAAAGAATGTATAGATTCGAGGTTGAAATTGAAAAAAGTAACGCATCCTTCACTCGCGGGTCGATTTGACCCCCTTAGGAATGACTGGAATGTGAGGAAGGCTTCATAGAAAAACATCAAATGCGTAGAATTCAAACAAAAAATGCTAAAAATTTACCAACAAATAATTTATAATGTCTACATGTGTATCTGAATGCAGACTGAAGTGAACTTTATAGGACCCAGGGGAACAGCTCCTCTGCTCATATAGAGCTATAAGGCCTCCTAGAGTCGTGAAATATCATGTTATATTATTATTTTTCTCCACACGAGTGTGTAATGTAAGATATTTAGAGCTGAATTAAAGGCACACTGTGGAATTTTTGGCCACTAGGGTGCGCTCGACCTGTAATTTTCATGTCTAGTGCCCCTAGAGGCCACAAGCGCCGCAGCATTGTCGCAAAAGTCAAAAGTCAACCGGTCAACCTCCCGTGTCTTTATGTGTGTGCAGACAGCATTTGATTTGTATGTTGGAGAAAGTTAATCGATTCACTACTGACCAAAATAATAATATAAATATAAGATTAATAATATAAATCCTATAAAGAAAACAAATTGAATAAAAGTAGCAAACGCAGAAAACAATGTCTGATCAGGTAAGTCGCATTGACAAGGGTTGCCCAATCCTGCTCCTGCCGATCGTCTGTCCTGCACAGTTCATCTCCAACCCTAATCAAACACACCTGAAGCAAACAATTAACGTCTTCAGGATCTCTTTGCAATGGGTTGGAGATGAAATCGAGTAGTCGGGAAATCGTGTAACAAAACTGATATAACTCACTACATATTTCCGTTATTTGTAGTCTTCAGTTTGTTTTTCCTTTTACACAAATACAAACATATATGAGCTGAAAGGAAAAAAAAACATTTACATTTGTATACGGCAGTATGTTGTGACTTATATCAGTTTTGTTACACGAATTCGCAGTAAATATTACATTATATATACACTTTTATGCCGATGTTTATTTTAAACTCTCCCTTTTTTTTTTTTTGGTCTCCTCTGACAAAATCTTTGCTTTCTTCGCTTTCTTCCGAGTAGCTGTTGATTCAGCCATGACGACAACATACAGACGCCGGCAATCAAACGCGAGTTGAGCTCTCACGTTAGAATTTGAGGAAGTTGGGGTGGTGGGTGAAGTGACTTATGCCGTAAAGCGGTCGAATTTTGTAGTTCTTTTTGTGCTCGGGTTCCTACCCGAAACCCGAAGTTACATAGTGCTAGGAAAAGCGATACAGACACCTTCAGGCTTCGGCAGACGTGTCATTCAACCTATTGTAAGTCGATGTACCATCTCAATGGGTTTAGGTAATATATTATAAAGGTTGAAAAGTTCCACAGTGTGCCTTTAAAAGGGTTGTGCATGAAATTTTGAGTTATTTTGAATTTAAGTTGAAAGAATGTGAAAAATGTGCCTAAATTACTATTTATTTATTTATTATTTATTTATCAAATCTAGCAATTTAAAGGAAACAAAAGTTTCATTAAAAAATAATGACCTTTCTGGACAAAAAAAAGAAAGAATAATTTTAGGGCTTAAAATAATGTGTTTGTAATGTTAGGGCTGGTAAAGATGTGTTACCAAGTGTGAGGGAAGGATAAACCTGTTTGACAACAGTCATTATTTTTCAATTCCATCTCACTTCACCTTTACATATCTGTGCTTATCCTAAACACAAGCTACAGACACACACGCCTCAGATGACACACTCACGCCTGGACACGTCTGGATTCTCTCACTGTTTGTTTTGGGTTTTAGTTCATTTTTTCCCCCATTACTGTAATACATCCGTCTCATTCCCAGTGGACGCACTTCAGGCTTTGCATAATCGAATCAAAAGAGTTGTTGAACGACAATTATCTCACACCTAGAATCAGAAACACCATTAAAACCAGTAACAGAAGAACCAGAATCCGCATCAGAAGAAGAATCACAATCAATATCTGAATATGATGAAGAATCAGTAAATATTAGATGTCAGAATCTGATAACTCGGTGCATTTAAAGCTTTAAGTGTTTGTGTACTCAGCCGTCACTCATGAAACACACACACACACACACATTAACATTGATTGCCTGATACACAGGCTAAGTGTGTAACAAAGAGAGAAAGATGTCCAGACATTCTGACAGTTAGTAAATTATCTTTCTCTTTATTCCGCTGACAGATGAGTCCATTCATCACACTTGTTCCCAGATCATGATGGATGAGTCATGAAGTGCTTGGTTTCGGGCCAGGATAGTTATGATGATGTCATCTAATCCCTCTAATCCTGCCTCTTTATTAATCGATGCTGCTCATAATAATCATATTTATGATTATTATTATCAATGTTGAGAACAGTTGTGCTGCTGCTTCATAGTTTTTGTGGAAACCGTGATACATTTCATTTTTCGGGATTCTTTGATGAAACGTGTGAAGAGTTTAACTCTTTCTTCTCTGTGTCAATGGTTCCCTTTACACACTTTTGAATGCAAAACTCTGCAGAGTCACTTTATTTCAACATTATTTAATAATCCAAATGTAGTTATTATTATACAAACCAAAGGACAGGCACTGATCGGGCTACAGATGCCAGAAATAATGCGTGTCTCTTCTGTTTCTGTTGCATATCTAATTATGATAATAATAAGCATTTCAATTAAAATATCTGAATAATAACATGTATGTATGTGTGTGTGTGTATATATAGGCCTTGTTCCAAATTAACTAGTAACTAACTACAGGTGAAACTCGAAAAATTCGAATATGGTGCAAATGTTCATTTATTTCAGTGATTCAACTTAAAAGGTGAAACTAGTATATTATATAGACTCATTACATGCAAAGTGAGATATTACAAGCGTTTATTTGTTATAATTGTGATGATTATGGATTACAGCTTATGAAAACCCCAAAGCCAATATTGTGAAAAGGTTTTCATAAGCTCTAAGCCATAATCATCAAAATTACAACAAATAAAGGCTTGAAATATCTCACTTTGCATGTAATGAGTCTATATAATATACTAGTTTCACCTTTTAAGTTGAATCACTGAAATAAATGAACTTTTGCACCATGTTCGAATTTTTCGAGTTTCACCTGTGTACTATATACATATCCATGATTATACTTTTCTGGGCCGACATTTCTGTATTTAAAATCCTTTTTTTTATTGATTTCATGAAATATTCAAATTTTCTGCGATTTTGAATTTGGGGTTTTCATAAGCTGTCATAAACATCAAAATGATAACTTTTGCACGATATTCTAATTTTTCGAGTTTCACCTGTACTTGAGTAGTTTTTCCATTGGATACTTTTTTTATCTTGCATGAATTTTTTTTTTCAGGATTCAGGAAAAAAACCATTTTTAGCCTATTTGAAATCGAATCTTTTGTAACATTATAAATGATCAAAGCTTGATCTTTCAGAGATTCACACACACTGTAACTCTTGCCGGTGTGTGTTCTCCTCCTCAGGCTCCGCCGCCGCGACTGGGGTCCGCATCTCCGTCCCGCTGGTGGACGAGCTGGGAGACAGCGGCTGGGAGATGAAGATCGTGGAGCAGAAGGACCGGCGTGTCCGTGTGTCGGTGAACACGATGGCGAGCGCCTCCATCGGCCGCTACATGATCACGGTGGTGTCCTTCTCTCCGAGGGGGAAGCTGCTGTTCCCCTGCGCCCCGAACGACCTGTTCCTGCTCTTCAACCCCTGGTGTGAAGGTATATACGGGCCCTACACACACATTCTGGCGTCACGTACAGCACTGAATTAACACTACTGTACCCACACCTGTCTTTCCTCAGATGACCCTGTGTATTTGGATAACGAGGCGGAAAGAAAAGAGTATGTTCTCAACAGCATGGGCAGAATTTATTACGGAACCGAGCAGCAGATTGGAGCCAGAACATGGAATTATGCCCAGGTGTGAACACACACAATTACATTACAGAGAGGGACTGTTATTATTATTATAGCTGATGTTATTATTATTATTATTACTACTATTATTACTGCTGTATATTATTATTATTAGTAGTAGTAGTATTACATTTTAATATTTTTAATTGTTCCACATTTATTGCTATTATTTGCATTATTATTATTATATTTAAAAAATATATTATTCCCCCATTATTATTATTATTATTATTTACATTATAAGAATTATTATGATTATTATTTACGCTATAATAATAATAATAATAATTATTATTATTAGTAGTAGTAGTAGTGGTAATATTGCTATTATTATTATATTTTTAAGTGATTTTTTTTTTCCCCATTGCTATTATTTGTATTGACATTTTTTTTTTACTATTATTGCTTTTATTATTGTATTATTTTTTATTTTAGTTTTCATTGCTATTATTTGCATATTTACAATGTTATTATTATTATTATTAATTATATAATTATTATTTACATTATTATTATTAGAAGTAGTATTTCAATATTATTAGCATTATTTACATTATTATTTACATTTGTATTGCTATTATTATTGTATTATTTACATTATTATTAATACTAATATTATTTACATTATTATTAGTACTATTTACATTATTATTATCATTATTATTACTATTGCTATTATTATTATTTACATTAGTATTTGTATTATTATTGCTCTTATTATTGTAATTATTATGATCATTCTGATTTTGCAATGAAAGGTGTGTTTGGTCAGTTTGAGCAGGACGTCCTGGAAGCGTGTCTGTTCCTGCTGGAGAGGGGTCGGGTCGCTATGACCGAATGGAGAGACCCGGTGATCGTGTCCCGGATGATTTCTGCTCTGGTGAGGCTCATTCACAAGACATGCAAAACAACTGAGTAAAGTTATTATTTAAACAAATATTACAGCGATATTATAAATATATAGTACAGTTAAAACTTTCGGGGTGGGTACGATTATTTTAATGTTTTTGAAAGACGTATTTTATTCGGACCAAGGCTGCATTTATTTGATCGAAAATACAGTAAAAATTATGAAATATTTTTCCAATCTAAAATAACCGTTTTCTATGTGAATATATAGTAAAGTGTAATTTATTCCAGTCTTCGGTGTCACATGATCCTTCAGAAATCACTCTAATATGATGATCTGATGCTCAAGAAACATTTACGATTATTATCAATGATAAAAAACAATTGTACTGATCATATTTTTGTGGAAATGGTGATGCATTTTATTTTTCAGGATTCTTTGATGAATATAAAGTTCAAAAGAACAGCATTTATTTGAAATGGAATCTTTTGTAACATTATAAATGTCTTTCCTGTCACTTTTGATCAATTGAATGCGTCCTTGCTGAATAAAAGTATACATTTTTGTACAAAAAAAAAAAAAAATCCAGAAACACAGTTTGATATTTGAAATCACCAAAACAAACACGCCCCTATCATGATAGATAGCCCCGCCCCCAAATTAACAATGCAGCACAGGCTCCTCCCCCTCATGAGAGGACACGCCCCTTACTGCTGATTGGCTAGAAGTTTGTTGTGGCGCTCAGTTCACTTTCAACAGCGTTTCTCAGAAACCTCTTTAAAAAGCACCTGTTTCTCAAGGTCTCCTCCTCTTCTCTGTGACAGGTGAACTCTAATGATGACCGAGGAGTGCTGATGGGTAATTGGACGGACAGCTATGAAGGCGGGACGACTCCCACCGCCTGGATCGGGAGCGGAGACATTCTCAAACAGTTTTACAAGAGTGCAGGAAAGCCCGTGAAGTTCGCCCAGTGCTGGGTCTACGCCGGGGTCACGGCCTCTGGTACGTGCATAACCGCGGTGGTGTTTCTGTGGCATCAATCATTTGCATTTGATAATATGCAATGAATTAATGTAATGTAACACTGAATGTTATTGTTAAGTGGCCTGCCAAAACCTACGCTATATGTGTATGCAAATCAGACGAGAATGATTGGCCAGCGCCTGATTGTTGTGACAACCGTCAGTCCTCAAGGGGGCGCTATAAATATAACTAACCTGGGAAAGTTTAAGAGAACTTCACCATTGTGTCAGCACCTTGCACTCCATTCATAAAGTGTATAAACTTTCTTCTGTCTCTCTCTCAGTGTTGAGATGTCTCGGTATTCCGACTCGGTGTGTGACCAACTTCAGCTCCGCCCACGACACGGATCTCTCCTTGACCACTGACATTTACATTGATGACAATATGGAATTAATTAAAGACAAGACCAACGATTCTGTCTGGTACGATAAAAACAACCATCCATCAATCAATATCACATGTTCCTTTCATGATTGGCATTAATGTCATCAGTGTCATCAGTGTGTGTACATTTAAAAAAAAAAAAAATTAGGTTATGTTTTTTAGATTTTCTTAAATAGAAGTGATCATTACTGACACTATCCATGAATATCAGAGATTTCTGCGTCGCATGAGTTTTATTTTAAGCATTAGAAGCAAAAATAGCTTCTTTTTTTATTATTTTGAGAAATAATACATATTTTAGATGAACAATCATCTCCTAAAACCTATATCTAATATATAAACCATAGAATGAAAAATAGCTAGTTGTTTACGTGAGGTTCTTTTTAAGATTAAATTTAGTTTTGATTTAATTTAAATTAAATTTAAAAAAGTTTAATTTGATATATATTGCATTTATATTGTTGTTTATTTAGTGTATATCAATATAAAATCAGGGGTTTTGAAGTGTATTTAGAGCTGTCCCAAAGAAATACATTTTTATTTATTTTTTAAAAGTAAACTTAGATTGAATATTTAACCCTTTAGAATTAAAAATAGCTAGTTGTGATTTTTGGGAAATTAAACTTTACCTGAGTTTCCATTTAATTTAAATTAAAAATATAATTTTTTTATATTTTTTTGGTGCATTTATTTCGTTGTTTATATGTAGTATATAAATTTAGGGTTTTATACTGTATTCAGGGCTGTCCAAAGTTTTAATAGTAATTAAATAAGATTCAAACTTCATACTAAATAAACAGAAAATAAAACCGCTCATAAAATATTTAGTAATAAAATATTCATAAATAGTAGTCGAAGGATAAGCTGACATGACCAAATGTGATTAGTGTGTAAGAATTACTTTTTTTTTTTTTTTTTTTTTTCAGGGCCTATTTTATTCGACTTTATTTGTGTAAATTGCCGACTGCCAATAAACTCTGTTCCTGTGTAGGAACTTCCACGTGTGGAACGAGTCGTGGATGACCCGCCCGGACCTGCCGGTGGGTTACGGTGGATGGCAGGTGGTGGACGCGACCCCTCAGGAGCCCAGCCAGGGTTCGTACCGCTGCGGTCCCACGCCCGTCTCCGCCGTCCGCAACGGACAAGTCGACCTGAAATTCGACACGCCGTTCGTCTTTGCCGAGGTGAAGCCTTTGCCTTTTTTTTTACCCTGAATATTCATTTTGAGCATTGTATTCAATTTGAGTCAAAACATCTACTGAAGTCGTTTCACTGTGTCTCAGGTGAACAGTGATAGGATCTACTGGCAGAAGAAACCTGATGGCAGTTTCAGTCAGGTCAACGTGGAGAAGAACACAATCGGCCAGCGCATCAGTACCAAAGCTGTGGGATCGGAGGAGCGCATGGACATCACACACCTCTACAAATACCCAGAGGGTAACAAAACTAATGCATCTGTGTCCAAAACCTCAGTCTACCTTCCTGCAAAGCATTTTAAGGAATCATAGACGCATGTGTTTCCTTATTATCAAACATCTTTAATAGTAGAAAACTCTAAAATAATAACCCATTTCCATGCAAATTTATATTCATACACATGCATAGCCATGCAGACTTGACAGAGCAGCCATCAAGTGCTAGACAGTAGCCTATTCTAGTTTATTACGTGCAGTTTATTAGGTTTTTTGTCCAAAAATTAGTATCTCTGTTTTTTTCTGAATTAAGTAGTAGGAAATTACTAGTCATCCAAATTTTTTATACATTCTGTTAATTTTGTGAATTGGTATGTTTCGTCAGGGCGCAAAGAGATATAGAGCTACGTAACAGTGAAAACTAATGCCATGCTTCCTAATGAAATCTTCAAGGGTAGCATGTACAGAGTGAACAGCAACGGTCCTAGTACTGAGCCTTGTGGTACACCATACTGAACTTGTGATTTGAACCATACCAGTGCAACTCCACTAATGCCAACATAATTTCCAGCCTATTCACAAGAATGTAGTAGCAAAATGCAGCACTAAGATCTAGTAACACTTATAGAGAGAGACAAGATGATAAGAGCAAATCATTTGTACCTCTGAGAGCTGTCTCAGTACTGTTACGGTCTAAATCCTGACTGGAAATCCTCGCAGATATCATTTCTTTCTAAAAAGGAACATTGTTGTGAGGATACTGCCTTTTCTAGTATCTTTGATAGAAAAAGTAGATTTGAGATCTGACTGTAATTACTAATTCTTTAGGATCAAGTTGCGTTTTTTAAATAAGAGGTTTAATAATAGCCAGCTTAAAAGATTTCGCTACGTATCCTTATGACAATGAAGAATTAATAATATTAAGAAGTCGATCTATAACTTTGGGAAGGATCTTATTTAGTAGCTTAGTGGGTATACTGCTGTTGATTTAGATGATTTAGTTTAGACAATTCTTCCTCTCCTATAGTAAAGAATGAATGAAATTGTTCATCAGGGGGGTCTATAACACAACGTCTGATGTGAGACTCTAGTAGATTGCATAGATTGTAATTTCCTCTCTAATAGTATCAATCTAGCAAGTAAAGAAATTCATTAGTCATTACTGCTGTGCTGTTTGAAAACGTCTGAAGATGAAGCTTTATTTCTTGTTAATTAGCCACTGAATCAAATGAATATCTATGGTTGTGTTCGTTCTCTTCTAAGAGAGTCGAAAAGTAAGCAGATCTAGCAGTTTTTAAGGTCTCTGTATGCAATACCACTATCCTTCCACGAAATGCGAAAAACCTCCAGATCTGTTTTCTTCCAGCTGCTCTCCATTTTTTCAGGCTGCTTTCTTGAGGGCGCGAGTGTGCTCGTTATACCACGGCGTTGAACTATTTTCCTTAATCTTTTAGTTTTTGGAACCGAGCTAATACTCCAACTCTTAAATAAAATGCAGCAACTCACACTTCTCATTCTCTCCCTTTATCTTCCTGTCTCTCAGGTTCGGAGGAGGAACGCATTGCTGTGGAAACAGCCAGTCGCTTCGGCTCCAAGCCGACTCTGTACCCATCAGCCACCGAAAACGACGTGAGCATTGAGATAGTCATGGACGGGGAAGGACCTCGTATTGGTGGAGACGCCAAACTCTCCATCGTCCTGAAGAACAAGAGCTCAAAGCAGCGCACGGCCAGTCTGCTGTCTGAGGTGCTGGTCATGTACTACACTGGAGTGCTGAAAGCCACCGTGAAGAAGGAGCGGATTCCTGTCAACCTCAAACCGCTAGAGAGTGAGTTGGAGTCCCTAAATTTAAGGGAAATTAATGCAACATTTAGCTAATCAAGATCCATAAATCGTAGGCCAATCGGAGTGATCAAGATTCTGTTCACATACAGAAAGTAAAAAAAAGTAAGCTTTATATGGTCTGAACCAAACCCCACTGAACCTTTTTGGGATTAATTTGAACACCGACTGCAAATCAGGCCTCATCATCAAGTGTTTTTGAACAAATGCAACTATTAACTCAGACAGTCTTGGCCACAATTATGAGAAATTTTAGAGGGGAAACAAAACTACTAATAACAACAAAAAATTTGCATTCATTTTTGAGATCGCAAAAATGTAAGGGCCCAAAATGCATTGTTTGCCTTATAAATGTTCAGTCCACCCCCCCCCCCCCCCCCACCCCCCCCCCACCCCCCCCCCCCTTTTCACTACTTTTTTTGCCTTTAAAAATCCCAGTTTGATCCTTACTTTTGATGTAGGATGAAATCCATGGCATTTGAGGATATATATGAGGCATTTTATAAATATTTTAATTACTCTTCATAACACAGACAGTCTGCTCCAAAAATACAGTGCAAAATGACTCACAGTTGTTTTATACGTTGTCATTAATGCCATGTTCCCTTGTCTCCCTTCAGCCAAGACTATTCCCTGGACTCTGCTGTATAAGGAGTACATGAATCATCTGGTGGATCAGGGCGCTCTGATGCTCACGGTCACCGGACGGGTCAATCAAACCAAACAGATTCTGGCCACACAGTTCAACTTCAGACTGCGCACTCCAGACCTCATTATCACTGTAAGCCAATGAGACTCTAGTCGTGACGTGTAACAAGCACAACATGTTTTTATGTTTTGTGATGTTGCAGTTAGATTGTTACTGTCAAGTATCATAATAGTAGTGCACTATATTCTCGCTTGCACACTACATTCCAAGACCTCTGGAGTCATATAATGCTCAAGTGAGGAACAGACTCGACATTTATTCTCTCTATCTTAGATCTCAAATCTCATTTTCTATTTTGCACATTCAAACTGACACGTGTGAGAATCCATTTGGTTTAGTGTTGATGCTCAAGCTGCAGTAGCACATTTAAAGGCATCATATTTGAATTGTACACAAGTGCGAATGAGATTTGAGAGTTGCAGGGGAGAGATAATAAACTTTGTATAGTGATGCTCAGTTAAAAACAGACTAAGAAGTTGTTTTAGAACAAAAATAATTTGCATGTTTTGTGTCCCTAATTTCTGTCTATTTATAAAAGTGTTTCACCTTTGCTTTTACTTAAATACAAACACTACAGTTAAATTCAGTTCATCACAAAAAATAATCTACATCTGTTTGTACTGTTTCAGCCTCTAGGGGACGCTGTGGTGGGTAAAGAGTTGACGGTCAAGATCACGTTCCAGAACCCGCTGCCGCTAGTGTTGAAGAACGTTATGTTCCATATAAAGGGATTGGGAATGCAGAGCGCCAGAAAGATCCCGAATGGGTAAGACTTTCAGTGTTTAACAACAGTTTTAATTCACATGCACTGTAGATATGCTGAAAAACATAAATGATATTTAAAGAGTGAAGCTTCCAGAGAGTTGATATTGTGTTTGTGTCTGTCAGTGATGTGGAGAAGCTTGCGAAGGTTACACTGATGGAGAAGTTTGTTCCCACCGCCTCCGGCTCTCAGAAGCTCCTGGCATCGATGGACTGCCATCAGCTCACTCAGGTGCACGGATTCGCTGATATTGTGGTCAAAGCAAAGTGAAAAACACTGTCATTGTAAAGCCTTCTAATGCTCTCGCTTCTCTTGAAGAATGTACTAGATTTAAGGGTCATCTACATTGTATAATAATTCAGTATTTTCATTCTCAATTCATGTAATTCAACAATAAAGATCCTCCATGTTTAAATTATATCCCGTCTGTCTGTTGTAATGTTTATGTGAGCAGATATTCATCGTCCTTCAATGTGTATTTGCATAACGATTGGCAAGCTGTTTAGTTTTTAGTTTTAGAATTGAACGCTTGTCTTTATTCAGATGCTGCAGTTATTACAATATAAACCAAGAACCTAAAAATGACCTAAAAGTCATTCTGTGATAACAGCTGGAGAGGAGAGAGATAAAATGGTTTCAGAGATTTCCTTACAAAATAACACGTAGACACTCTCTGGAAATTTAGCATATTATGTAGAAATTCAACATATATTTAATCATATAAAATGCTATAGTAGATTTTAAAAAGAAAGCATTATTAATAATTATTATTAATAAGTATTAATGACTGACAAAAGCAAGTCATTGTGTTGACTAGAAAAATAGACTCATAACAAATCGGCCATTCAAATGTACATATAACTATAATGTTTTATTATAGTTCATGTTTTATTTTGCTCTTGTACACATTTTGTCTATCACATATACATTTTCTTTATAATGCTGAGTAAAATATACTCTTTAAAAAAAAAAAAAACTGTAACTGTAGTTAATCTTTTCAGATTTCAAGGTTGTTTTTTTCCCGTTCATTTTAACTGACAGGAGTGATGATCAGTGGGTTTGAGTTTTTACATTCACCATTATCGCATTCGCATGGGCTGAAATACGGATAGAGTCTCTCAGTGAAAGTCTGACCAGTGAAAGAGTAGAGATGAGATCTGGACTCCACGTCATAAAAAGAGACCAGACCCTCCTCATAATCCACAAACACACCAACCTTCTCAGGTTTCACTTTCAGAGAGACCATAACCGCTGGATTCACAAGAACTACATTTAGATCCTCAATAAACAGCATCAGAATCCAGATTCCATCCTCAGGACTCGGGATACTGTTAATGTCCCCCTTCCTGCTAATGGATTCTCTGATCACTCCTAAACACCACTGAGTCATTCCCTTCACCTGCACCTCATAGTAAAATCTCCCTGAACTGAATCCCTCTTTTGCCAGAACACAATCCATATCAAATCTCTTTGGGTTTTCTGGGACGTCCTGCTCAATGTCTCCACAACTGACTTGTTTTCCATCATCAGACAGGATGAGATGTGGATCCGCTGTATCAGGATCCAGAGTCACATCCACTGAGAGAGATCAGACATTATCAATCAACTTCAGAACAAACATTTTCAGATGTACAGTCTATAATATAGATTAACAAAGTATTGTAAGTGCATTGAAAAAAATAGCATCAATCACACTGTACCTGCAAACTTCTGCACAAACTTCAACCCTGTGGACACAGATGACAATATAATGATGAATTATTTATAGCAATAATTTAAGATTAACATTGAGTTTCTCTCTATTGGCAGCATCAGTAGCATATAAATGTTGCTCATCCCTTTGTTTGTAAAACAAAATGCAGAATACGTCTACAGTAAATATACATACAATAGAGGTTTATGGGACAAACATAATGAGGATTTAGGAGAAGAAATTTGAAGCTTGTATTTTTTTAATTAATGCTCTATTAATAACAATTCAGTAAAATGTGTCATTTTAGATTGTACACAGATAGTTACACATTCAGTTCTAATATTCCAAGTAATACTGCTTTAAATGGTTATGACATGAGTTAAAGTTTATATATGACAGGGTTAGTGGTGTAATGATTATATTTTTGAAATAGTGTGATCCCTTACAAACTGAGACTACATATAGTTTTGCTGATCACCAGCATGACACAGATGGTTAAAATGGATTTAACCAAGAATATTCCTTGAAAGGAAATATTTTCTTAGTTACTGACAAAAAAAATCTATACAGTGTTGTGGCGAAGGGGGCTTGGTTGAGCGAGGTCTCCAGCGGGAGAGAGAGTCGGGAGATGAGCATTGAAGTGTGCAAAATGACAAACACCTGTTACCCCCAAGGCAGTGGTGGTGCTGGTTCGGAGCCAGAGCCTAGTTTCAAATTGGTTCTTTGTTTTTCGACACCCAAAGCACCAGCTCTGAACCAGTAAAAGTGGTTCTTAAGTAGCACCAAAACATTGCTGGGCTAGAAGTAAGAACCGCTTGCATCAGGGGCTGCGGACGGTGTTATCGTGACCAACAAGATGAACAGAAACTTGTCACCGCCATTTTGCTAATAGCAGCTAATCGAGCTAATAGCAGCTCGATTGTAATCTCCGTCTATGCAAGTTATGGCGAGCTACACGAGCACGTTGGATTCTGCGTGTTTCAATGCCGATGTAGGTTCGCAATGCCATGAGCAATAATTGTAACGCAACGACCGCCATTGTTGATGGAAGGCTTGTTCGAGGTGCATCGGAGCGGCGCGGACCGATCGGAGCTGCGGGAGTGTTTGGAGAGCTTTCGCAGTGCTTTGATGTTATGCGCTGATCGGTCTGTGATCACAAGCCTAGTGTGTTTGGCGCTGCCAAACATGAGATGTTTACAGTGACGTAAGATCTGGCTGTGGTGGCTCTCTGGCCTGTGGAAAGACAAACCGGTTCTTAGAAAGCTCGTCAGTCGAACCAACTCCCAACTGGCAATAGCTCTGACTCTGAACTAGCACCCGGTTCTTGCTGGTGGAAAGTGGGTATGTGTCTTGACATGTCTCGTGACAGGAGGACCGCGAGCTGTTCTGGAGCTGGATGGACAGGGAGGTTTAGGCTGCAGACGTCGCTGGACCTGGCCATTCAACATTCAACCAGATGGTGGCATCCCCTGGGGTTGGTGAATCCTTACCATCTCTCTCACCCCTCCCCTGTGATTTCTCCTTCTCTCTCTTCCTCTAGACTTGTCCCTTTCCCCTAGGTCCCGTTTGAATGTCCCTCCTCAAGCTCATGAACATCCAGCTGTCCAGAAAATACCACCCAGGGGGTGGCCAGTGCTGGGCAAAGCGTCAGCTCCTGGACCTCCACTCTCTCCACATCAATCCTTTGACCCACTTCCACTACGGCGGCGGGGAGGTCTGGGCTGTACAGTAATGGAAGTGGGGACCCTAATTCGAGTCCTGGACACACCACAGGTTGCCTCTGATCAAGCTGGATTGTACCAAATACCTGTGAGTATTAAGAGGGGTACTTATCAGGCTATGGTGGATTCGGGATGTAACCAAACCTTGATCCATCAGAGCCTGATTCAACCCAAGGCATTCGATAAGAGCTGCATGGTTCAGGTGCGGTGTGTGCACAGGGATGTGGTGAAATATCCAGTAATGTCTGCTGTTGTTCAATTTCGGGGGAAAAAGCATACTGTAGAGGTCGCAGCTGGCCAGCTTTTAATCATTTATTGGGGTATTTGTGTGTAGATGTCTCTTGGGAGAACAGAAAGCGTGGAAGGAGGGTGGTCGCTCAGTTGGGAGAAGCTGAACCGGGACAGACGGGACCTGAGTCAGGGGACCAGGGGCCGGTTTCACAAAGCTATTTTAGACCGGTCTATAGTGTTAGACAAGTCTGAAATTAGCTCATAGACTAGTCTAATGCAAGTTAGACTGTTTCACAAAAATAAAGACTGACTTAATTTAGTCCAAAAACATTAGACACCTTTCCCCCAGGCTAACTTAGGTCTAAGACTCTGTTACCTTGGCAACCAGCAGTAACAATCAGTTACATTACAAACAGCCGAAAGAAAAGGGAAAATGGCTCATAATTTGTGGTTTGCTGACGACGTTATGGAGAGAGCTATGAGAAGGGAAAGGGTTTTTAGGGACCGCAGTAACCTACTGGAAATATATTTTTGTATCTTTTCTGTACGCCTTTAACGCTCCGCTGTGGCGAGCAGGACGAGGTCGAGGGACATGAGAGCGGCGCGAGGCCGGTGGCATGAGTGATAAAGAGCGACACCTGTGAGACGCACCGGTCTCGTATCTCTCACGGAGGAGCGGAAGCATAAAGGAGGAGCGACGACTGTGAAGATACAAGACCGGTGCGTCTCGCAGCCGCAGGTGTCGCTCATTATCAATCACGCCACCGGCCTCGCGCCGCTCTCACGTCCCTCGACCTCGTCCTGCTCGCCACACTGTCGTAGCAATCTTTGTCCAAATTAAACTTTTCTTCTTGTTACTACATTCTCCGCTAAATTTCCCAAGTAAAATGTCCTTGTAGCTGTTATACTCCTCCAACAAACACATATTTTCCGCTGGGGTAAACTGCACTGAGCGGTTGAATGCGCTTACTCGATCCGCCATGTTTTTTGTTTTGAAAAGTGCCTTATTTTACCCAGAATGCATTGCAGTGTAGTCCTACTTAAGATAGTCAGAGTCTTAAGTGCTTTGTGCAACGGTCTGATTTAGATGTCTATCTGAAGTCAGACTATCTACTATATCTAAGCCATAGTCAAAGTCTATCTTTGTAAAACCGGCCCCAGAGCGCTATTGAGAGGCTAATCCTCATGAGTGTGATGATATTCCCCTGAATCAGTCCCAGGATGAGACATTAAAAATGCTTTTGAACAGGTCTGTTCTATCGATGGGCAGCTCGGCTGCTCTCCTATCCATATTTCGCTATTTTAAAAGATAGGTTGTATCGAGTAACCCAAGCCGCTCAGACAAAGCCAATACAACCCAATAATAAGTACCTAAAAGCCATCGGGAAATGCTTTTAATCCTATGGCTGTAATCCTATGGCAGGACATTTAGGGCAATCAACGACACTAAATCATCTCATGACCCGATTTTTGATGAGAATGTGCGCAGGTGGTGTGCAGGTTTTCATGAAAGCCAGTTGGTGAATCCACCGGCCTCTCCTAAAGCGCCTTTGCGTCTTTTTCCTCTAATGCAGGTCCCCATCAAGAGAATTGGTATGGACTTCAAATTGGGACAAATCGCTGGAGCCCCTCTTGAGCCCATCCTTAGAAAAACTTGGAAGGACGGACCTTTCGATAGCAGAAACGAAATTCAGTATGTGCTGGACCTGTAAAATAGGGGCTCCAGACTACGTGAATTTACACCGGCAGATAAAGTACTTGTATTGCTCCCTACGTCTAATTCCAAATTAAGTCCCAAGTGGCAATGACCCTTTGAAGTCACACGGCGAGGTACACCCTAACCCTAATCTCAATTATGAGAATTCAGAAGTGAGCACCAAAATCCAATCTCTCGCTCTGGCCCCAGGAGGAGATCACCTCCTGCCCTCTCAGTTCACTGATGTAGCCAGGTTACAAGTCGAATTTACAGACGTGTTCTCGCCCCTGCCTGGTCGAATGAACCTGATTCAGCACCATATCGAGACCGAGCCGGGCGTGGTGATAGGCATAGCGTCTACCTGAACACAAAAAAAGCTGGTTCAGACTGAATTAGAGGCAGTAATTGGCATAGAGAGACCGGAGAAGAGCCAAAGGGAAACTGGAAGTAATGAGAGAACCTGGACTTAGGACTCGTGCTGTTTGAACCTGCGATACTGCTTGAGAAACTGGTGTCACTTTGTTCAGAAGTGTGTTGAGAGCGCAGAGAGCTCATTTGTTTTATTTGTGGAAATAATAAAAGGCATGAGCCTCAGTAAGCAAACCCTGCCTTCTTCCTCACTCTGAACTTTATCACGACTGTATTTAAAATTCACATACCAGTTTGACTGAGTTTTTCATTCAGTGTCTCTTGAGTTTTCTTCAGTTGAGTCAGAGCTCTATACAGAGAGTTCACATTCACATCAGAGTCAATCCTGATCTCAGTCCAGTTCTTGGTGTGGGGACGACTGTCCACGGATGAGCTCATCTACAGCAGGAGAGACAAGACAGTTGAATATTATTATTTTATTAGGTGTTCAAGCACGAAGTGCTGAAAACCTATTGTATTTGTACTGATTTTTAGGTGTTCAAGCACGAAGTGCTGAAAACCTATTGTAATTGTAAGGATTTTTATTATTATTATTATTATTATTATTATTATTCTTCTGCCGTAAAACGCATCGTGCAGACCAAACCGTAAGTGCTAGAGACTTGAAACTTTGTCAGATGGTAGTACAAAAATCGAGGAGAGCTTATCAAATTATGAGCCCGATTGGCCCATAGGTGGCGCTATAGCAACCAATTGCGCAAAACTGCTCATAACTCCTAGACCGTAAATCGTAGACTCAAGTGTCTTATATCATTGGAAAGCTGGACTCCTGACTTAAAAAACGTATATCTCCGATTTCATTTCCGTCATGATAGATTTTCCGCCATTTTGAATTTTGTCAAAAAACGACTTTTGCGAACTAGTCCCTGATTTTTTGCCCGATCGGAACCAAACCAGTGCACAAATGTTCTGTGGAGTCTGAATATAAATTATAATCGTAAAAAAGTTGAAATTTCGATTTCCGGTCGCTAGGGGGCGCAAAAAGAACGTTGTGGGAGGAGCCTATTTTACTAAAACGACTATAACTCTAGAAGTAAATTAGGTAGGTTCACCAAACTTGGTACAGTTGTGCATGAGTTCAATCTGAGGTCACAGTAAAAAAATCGCGACGATCGAACACTAGGTGGCGCTATAACATGAAAAAAACATATAAAGGACTGACCGTTAGTCCGATTGACTTGAAAATTGGTATGCAGTGTCTTGGTCCAAGGCCCCATGTATGTCTATGAGGACATTGGCGTATCTCAAAAAACATGGCCGCCATTGACCAATGAAGTTTGAGCCCCTATGAGACGAGGTTAACGGAGGCCAATCGGAACGAAACTCGATGGGCATGTTCGACTCATGGCCTAAGAGGTCTGTAAGAGTTTTGAAAGAAATCGGCCACTAGTTGGCGCTAACGAGTTTTACGGCTCTGTAATCACGTGGTGTTGCACACATCCCCCCAAAATGCATATCATTTTATAGATATCCTCATGGTGAACAACTTTGCCTCTAGAACCATTGCTGTCAATCAAATCGTTCATTAAATATTCACGAATATGTTAAAAACCTACTTTTGCGAACTAGTCCCTGGTTTTTCGCCCGATCAAAACCAGACCAGTCTAGGACAATTCTCTGGACTCTCTAGATCAATAATTATCAAAAAAAAGTTGAACTTTGCCCTTTGGTTCACTGTAACAGGGTCATTTAGAAAAGGGGCGTGTCAAAATACACTCAAAAGCCTATAAATCATAAATGAAAACTCAGAACTTGACAAAAATTGATGAGCATATGTGTCATACCATGTTGAGGAAGCATGCAAAGTTTCATGGAGATCGGACCATAGGTGGCGCTATAACTTTTAAAAAGCTTTAAAACCATATATTTCCTATGGTAAATTGCCTGTATTGGCTGTAAATGGTCTTTTCCATCTATGATCGTAAAATTTTCATATCTTAATGTTTAAAACCAGTGCAGTACAATTATCTGGACTCTCTAGATCAATAATTATCAGAAAAGGTGTAATTTCTTCATTTGAATGGCTGTAATAGTGTAAATTGGATGGCTATAACATTTTGGATGGCTATAACAGCCAATAAGTGGTATTTTACTGCCCCCTGCTGTCATTTCATCATACTACTCCCTAAAATTGTTATATATAATTGAAATTTAGACTTTATTAAATCATTATTTTAACATTTACAATCACATTTTGTCCAAATTCATCTATTGCTCTGTACTCTCTAGAACAATAATTATCAGAAAATGTATAACTTGTAATGTATAACATTTGGATGACTAAAATAGGGTCACTTCAATATGTAGCCTTGACCGAAAGCCAATATCTTTTCAATGAATGCTCATAGCTTCTTAAAAAAAGGTCAAGCATGGCTAACAGCCAATAAGTGATATTTTACTGCCCCCTGCTGTCATTTTCATCATACTACTCCCTAATATTGTTATAGTTCATATTTAGACTTTCTAAAATCATTATTTTAACATTTACTATCACATTTTGTAAAAATGCATCTATTGGAGTATTATGGACTGCATTTATTTATTTTATTTATTACTCTTTACAATTGTGTCACAGGAAGGCTGAAAACGAAAGTTTTTATTTATACAACTGTTTATAGTCTGTAATACCACTGTTGTCCAATAGATGGAGCAGCAGTATTATACAAATGCTGAAGGAGTATTGTTCATTCTTAGTTAATGCTAACTAATGTAGTTAACATTAACTAAGAATGAACAATACTCCTTCAGCATTTGTTAATCTTTGTTAATGTTAATTTCAACATTTACAAATACTTTATTTAAATCTTGTTAACATTAGTTAATGCACTGTGAACTAACATGAACTAACAATGAACAGCTGGATTTGTATTAACTAACGTTAACAAAGATGAACAAAAACAGTAACAAATGTATTGTTCATGGTTAGTTAATGTTAATTAATACATTAATGTTTAATAAATTAACCTTATTGTAAAGTGTTACCGACATTTTTAATCTTTTTTTTAATCAGCTTTCAGCATTGGCTAACAAACAAATGCTTAAAGCTATTTTTTTATTAAAAAAATACCAAAGTGGTATTTTACTGCCCCTTGCTGTCATTTCATCATACTACTCCCTAATATTGTTTTATAATTCATATTTAGAATTTCTAAAATCATTATTTCAACATTTACAATCACATTTTGTCCAAATTCATCTATTGGAGTATTATGGACTGCATTTATTTATTTTATTTATTACTATTTACAATTGTGTCACAGGAAGGCTGAAAACGAAAGTATAACGTTGGGCCACGCCCCCCAAGGACAAATTCACTCATAACTCGAAAACAGAAAGTCGCTGCACGCTCAAATTTTGATGGTAAGGTTCTCTCGGGGTTCTTGATCCAAATCTATCGTCGCGGGGCTCGGGAACGCCCCCAATCTTTAGATAATTTTTTCATTACCTCGTTCCCGAGATATAAGTGAAAACCAAATTTCCATTCATTTATTTCAACTGTATATAGTCTGTAATACCACTGTTATCCAATAGATGGAGCAGCAGCATTATACAAATGCTGAAGGAGTATTGTTCATTCTTAGTTAATGTTAACTAATGTAGTTAACATTAACTAAGAATGAACAATACTCCTTCAGCATTTGTTAATCTTTGTTAATGTTAATTTCAACATTTACAAATACTTTATTAAAATCTTGTTAACATTAGTTAATGCACTGTGAACTAACCTGAACCAAAGAGTATAGAAGAACAAGAGGCGAAACTCCGATGCTTTTCTGGTAACAGCCACTAGGTGGCGCGGCCGCCATTTTGGGGTGAAAATTCCAACTGGAGTTACTGGGCAACAGCACAGATAACAGTTTTTTAGGTAGTTTTTCTTGCATTTTTATGCAACTTTACACATTTACTACTATTATTAGTTACCAACTCCACTAGGCCTGAAATATATTTTGTACGTTTTAATCCCCTGGATCGTGCTACAAACATGATGATCTTAACATGATGCATTGGTGTGTCCGTTATCTGTGTTTTTTTGTTTACATAGGCTTGCTTTAGCGGTCATTAATATAAAATAGTACTGCAAAAAAACCAGTTTACTGTAAAGCTATTCTATTGCTGTTATATATTTATTGTCCAACATTTACATTTTAGTACAATTACATTTATTTGCTGAATTCATTTATTTCATTGAACTTATTTTTGTATGTAAGGTTATGTGTACCTCCTGGGAAACGGTCCAACGTTATAACTTTATGAACTTACATCACTTTATTCTTCTTACCTGTCAAACTTAATGTAGAGATTAATATAATTAATTAAATCCTTGAACTTCCCTGTCTCAAGTTATGTGGGGGAAAAGCCTAGTAGCAACTTCTTTTTAACGGATATAACGTTAACTGTTGTGAATTAAAATAATCACCTAATTATTTCAACCTAAAAATGACCTCTGCACTGGACTAAATATATGTATAATATATGACTGCCGAGTCGCTTTCACCCCAAAATGGCGGACGCGTAGGGCTGCTGCTGGGCGCTGGTGTTGCAATGGAACGTTCTATTGGCTTTCACTTCTTGTCAATATACGTTCTTTACCTGAACTAACAATGAACAGCTGGATTTGTATTAACTAACGTTAACACTAGAAGTGCCAGAATTCCATAACTACTAGAACTGCCACAAGCGGTCATTTTGACCGTTAGATTGCAAACTCTATATCTTTAATGATAAATACCCAATTGAGAGATTAATGCATTTGTTGTATTAGGATATCTTTTAAAAACAAAACAACACCAAACTGTACATTTTAAAAAGTTTAATTATACATTTATAAATAATAATATCAGTAGCCCGTAATTATCGCATAGGGCCTATTCACAACAGAGCTATATTTCCATATCCCTTCAACATAACTCAGAACAAGATAATAACAACTAAAAGTATCTTATTTAGATATTCTTTTGACAGTGAGAGAGACAATGTCACGGTTTATGAATTCGCTGTCTCCTTTCTCGTCTTGTTGTGTGTGTGTGTGTGTGCGTGGTCGCTGATCAATGCAGCTGATCAGCACGTGCGCTCTGATCAAGGCGCCAGCTGCAACTGATCAGCGATTCGACCCTTTTCAGTGTTACTGTTCTCGCCTAGTCTTTGGGTGTTTCTCAAAACCAAGAATGCAAAGAACGGACTTGTGTTCTTGGGGAGAACGCTCTTGCTAGTTGTTCTTGGAAGAATGAACTCACAAGCTAACGAGCACACAGAACGCTGCTGACAGTTTGAGACGATGTGTTCTTGCTGGTATTGCGCAATAATACCCCCGCACAGACACCGTCTGCAGTACCCAAACATAACGAGAATTATTGACGATAACAGCCAGGCTGCAATGG